TCCTGCTTCCTTGTGGACCTCAGGCAGATCATCCATACGAGCAGCACGAGGATGATGAGGAACACCACGGCGCCCGCCACGCCCCCAGCGATGTAGGCGAACAAACTCTTGTGCTGGATCATTAAAACTTTATTATTTTACATTTGTTTGTAGGTACAAATATTATCAATCAATTGATATTAATGAAACACTAATCTAGGTCGATAAAATATTTATTCAAACCGTGGGACATATTGTAAACATTTCTCAGGTTTACAATAAACTCAAGTGCAGGGCACAAAAGCATTATTAATTATTGTTAATGAAACATCTGATAAAGGTTGAAACGCATCAGAACATGTTTTCTACCGGCAAAAATATATATATATATATATACATTTAAACATATTCTAAACCATTTCTGAGATTTGCAAGAAGTTCTAGTGCTAGGGCACTCCTATAGTATTTAATTTTGACTCTCGTCAGATTGCATAATTTTGCAACGTTATAATGGGACAGAATTTAAGTATATTTTTAAGAGAAGCTATGAAATCAGACGAAGGTTCAGGAAACAATCATGGTTGAAAAGACTCGGAAAATAATGGCCAATTGCGAGCAAAAATGATTCGTTGAAACCGTGTCGAACATGTCTTAAATATTGTTTGTTTATGCAATCAATGTTTGAGTTTGGCCATCAAAGAAGTACCTGTAAATTTGTTACTAAAATACCTAGCTTTTAATACGAATAATATATGTAACTTTAAATACCAATAACATAAAATAAGTATTTAATTATCATTACACGACGTGGGAATGAAAAATTATTTCATAGTTTGAAACATATTCGAAACTTTGGCTAGGAATGCGGACTCCTTCGCTAATTTTGTAAGAAAAACCAATTACTATAGAATAACCTGATCATTTAAATATGTATAGTCCACGTACAATTCTCTTTCACATTCGTTGATTCGAGATGAGCTTTAATGAAAAAAGTGAGCGAGTTTCGAAAGACATTAATAAACGTTAACCATATGATTCATATTAATTAATACATTAATACAGTCACCTGGCATTGTTTTCCCGTGAAGGAGCCGACGCACTCGCAGTAAGGCAGCCCGCGGTCCGTCTTGCGGCACACGCCGTCGTGTAGGCAGTAGTCTTTGCATGTGTCTGTTGGTGCCATGTTAGTTTTGCATTATTTACAATTGCTGACACTTAAATTAACGGTTTTGTTCGAGACTGATTGATATTATTCGAGGATTTTGTCGGTTTGTCATAGATTTAAACAAAATAGTTTAGGGAGGCTAAAATTTTTACCAATTTTAAAGATGAAAAAATTTCGATGGATTTTTTACTATTTACTGATAATCATTAGCTCTGTAAAAATATCCAGATACAGCGTTTTTGCGAAAATATAGTGGTATGAGCATTATTTGCGTAGCTGTAGCAATTAAAGCTTACCTAGACACTCTCCGGACTCAGTTTTGTTGAAGCCGTCCTTGCACTCGCAGATGTAGTCGTCCTGTTCGGCGAGGTAGAGGCAGTCAGCGTTGGCGTCACACAAGACCTGTTCGCCATGCACCTGGCAGGGGTTGGTGCACTCTTCGGGCGAAGTGGACCCAGTACCTTTANGCTGGGGTCTGTGGTGGGGCGCCAGAAGCCCTCAGCCCCACATGTGTAGAAGTCGGGAACCTGCGAGTAGAAGGTAGAAAATGTGGTTAATGACATGATTTAACTGGAGTGAAGCGGCGAGTAGGCGTAGAAAATGTGGTTAATGACAAAATTTAACTCGAGTGAAGCGGCGAGCAGGCGCAGAAAATGTGGTTAATGACATAATTTAACTCGAGTGAAGCGGCGAGCAGGCGCAGAAAATGTGGTTAGTGACATAATTTAACTGGAGTGAAGCGGCGAGCAGGCGCAGAAAATGTGGTTAATGACATAATTTAACATGAGTGCAGCGGCGAGTAAGCGTAGAAAATGAGGGTAATGACATAATTCAACTTGAGTGCAGGTGCGAATAGGCGTAGAAAATGTGATTAATGACATGATTTAACTAGAGTGCAGCGGCGAGTAAGCGTAGAAATTAGAGTCAATGGAGTTTCATTCAACTTGAGTATAGCATTTGCAGGAATGACTTCAAAAACGAATTGTCCATTAGTTGACATTTCATACGTTAGTATTGAATAGATAAATTTATTCAAAATAAATTCTCTGTTTTATGCAATATTAAATGAATGGAAGCAAATAAGCTAAATAATGACCTGAGTAGAGAACTTGAGTCCCGGGTTGCACTCAATCGAGCAGACTTTGAAGCGACCGCCAGGACCCCAGTTTGAGCAGCGCTGGGTTCCCCCCACAGGATCGGCCAAGTCCTCACAGAAATCCTCGAGGACGTAGACGTTGAAGGAGCAAGTGGCAGAGTTGCCTGCTGCGTCGTACGCTACCGTCGCGATGTGGTACGTCCCCAGGGCGAAGGCCTGTACGTAATGAAGGCACGGTGTACTGTGGCGTACTATGAATGCATGGTGTACTATGGAACACTCTGAAGCCATGAAAAAAGTCGTCTGATTAAAAAATGAAGGATCTTATGAGTCTTTTGCGAATATAGTGAGCTTCTGAAGCATAGCTTGCAGTATAGATCAAATAATTGAATATTATATCCGTGAATTAATCCCTCTATAAGATACGTCAACTATGAAAAAACCTTAGCAGAAAATATAACGAGTTTATTAAAATGAGTTTGAAAAATGTGCAATTAAAATTTGCAAACTCAATTTGAAAGATGATCTCACTTGTCCAGGGAAATATCCCGATTTTTCGATGGTTTTTTCAATGCCGATGTTGTCAGTGAATCTGGGCCGGTCCCAGTTGACCACCGCCGAACCATTCTTGGTGATGACCCAGATGTGTCCAGGGCAATGGTCAACCCTTGGTGGAGTCTTGTCCCTTTGTAGGACAGTGCAATCCCCAGTATATCCAAGAGGGCAGACATGTTGTCCACAGTTAGAGGGCCCAACCCTCTCGACGTTGCCCTCGACTCTGTCGTATCCTGCCCATCGCAGGAGGAGTCCTTCGAACATCACCGGTGACTTCATGCACGAACGAGCCTGAACAAAGAGATGATGTTGATATAATTTGTTAGTTATAGTCATTGATTAGTAATATTACTTGTCAATTTTAATAAAATATTATGCATTAAGTCGTAATAAACGCTGCACTTTTATAATTATAAATGCTCATTCATTCTGTTTTCAATATAATAAATTTATACTATTAACTGTTTTCTCTTGCAAATCAGAATCAATCAACTTCTAATTTAACCCTTTCTCTAGTAATTAAACTTTCATTGTATCAAGTCTTATTATACGGATACCATTAACAACGCTATCTATATGCGTTAATAAAAAGATACTTTAGAATGTTTTAGAATTCTAAAAAAGTGCAATCCAATATAATATCAATCATTAGAAATGATTTTAAATTATGAAACTATTGCGTACGAGCACCGACCATCTTGGGCACATCGACCCTGTAGTCGACCGCTCTGTTCCAGACGTTGAGGCGGGCCACGCGGCCGTGGAAGCCGCGCACGTCTGAGTACGAGGCGAACCTTTGTGGCACGGCTCCTAGCGTCACCCAGCCACTGCCAGGGAATAATGGGTTAGGAATGTTTACGGAACGTATCTGGCCTATGGAAAGGCATCAACTTTAATTATAGTACCTATTTATCAATCATTTGGCTACCTATCATGGTCCTGTCACAGATCTGGCCTATGAGAAATGCGTCCGACTTTAATTATTGTGCCTATTTGTTAATCATTTGCCTACCTAAATCATGGTCTTGGCACAGATCTGGCCTAGAAAAATGTATCGAACTTTAATTATAGTACCTATTTGTCAATCATTTGGCTGACTGTTATGGCTCGAGAGAGTCATCCTATCCATAGTTCATAACCACCTCACATATTTGGCATCAAGCTTATTTCTTGCACGATAAATTAGGTTATGTTAATATATTTATTTATCCAATCATGATTCAGATCATACTGCTAACTGATGTTAGTAACGCAGGCTTCGACAACAAGCAGAACTCATTTGCATGATTGGAAATGAGATGATAAGTTAAACTAACAGTAAATTAGAATATTACCTTTACACTTTCTCAGGTGCTAACTCACTATCAACGAGTAATTCGTAATCGATACATAACTCACTATCAGAAGGAAATTCACTTTCGACAATAAACCTGTTCACAAATGACTCACTATTTCGGCATAGTGCTGCCTTTAGCAAATCCGGTCACTTGCGCAACGACGACAGCGTCAGTCGTGAGGGTAAGAATGCCCTCAGTTCCGTCCCAAATGAGGGCGATGTGATGCCACTGTCCATCGTTGATGGGAATATTGGGCCTGTAACTGATGACTTCCCTCGCGCCACGAACGAGCTCGATGATCATGCTGCTGTCCGTCGCTTGTAATAACATTCGAGGATTTTCCGGGATGTAAGGACTCCTGGAAAAATAGAGAGGGAAAAGCTGAAGCAGGAGCAAGGAAAATCGACACATATTTATCTAGGATATGACAAAATACGAAATTATGCCCAATTAGAATGAAGTATTAATTCTCATTTAAAAATATTCACGATCAAGCTATAAAGTTACTTGCAGCTGAACAAAAATTTATTAATGGTCCATAATTTGTACGGCTAAGTTTGCCTTTGAAATTTAAGTACTTACGAGACGGAGAAGAGAGTGAACACAATGCCCTTGCTGTCGGCCTTCGCAAACTGGACCCAGAGTGCGACAGTGAAGGCCTTAGCCTCCATCAGGTCGAAGGGAGTGGCCAAAGAAGCGCTTGAAGTCTTGCTTTCGTCGTTAACATAGAGGTCGTAGTCGAAGTTGATCACTGAGAAGGAAAAACCAGTCCATTAAATTCTGTTTACCGAATAATTATAAAAGATTTCGCATGTCAGAAGGAAATGAGCACAACGAGATTTTGTTCATTTGAGCACTAGCTTATTTCTGCATAAGCTAGTGCTTTTCATCACTTCAAAACGAGGTTATTATAACATTAACACTTGTTCCTTGGAACATTTCTCTCGATGCAATCTGCTAGAAAATAAATAATTTAATAGAAAAAGGGTAGGCTTTAGGCAAACTCTCGAAATAAAATGAATGGAAATGAAGTCACCAACCTTTCCGGCAGTCTTCGCCAGTGAGGTTGAAGGGACACTTGCAGTAGAAATCGTTGGTGAGGTCAATGCAGACAGCCCCCGGGGGACAGGCAGCAGGAGTGCAGTCAACGATGTCCTTATCGCAATGCCGTCCTTCGTATCCCGGAGGGCACAAACACTTGTAGCCTTCGCCGTGATCTATACACGTGGCCCCGTTCTTGCAAGCGCCCTCAGCGCACGCGTCGTATTCAAACTGACATCCAACGCCGGTGTAGTCTTCGGAGCACGAGCAGTTCAGGCCGGAACCAAAGTCCTGGCACTGAGCGCCATTCATGCACGGGTTTCCGACACAGCGTTCAGGAGCTACTTGACACATTTTGCCGTCGGTTCCTGACGGGCACACACAGAAGAAATCCTCGAACAAATCGATACACTCGGCATCGTTCAAACAAGGGTTTGCCTCACAGCCTCCAACGTCTTTCTCGCAGCGCTTGCCGGACCAGCCTTTGTCGCATTGGCAGGTGTAATCGGCTACTCCATCAATACAAGTTCCTCCGTTCATGCACGGGTTGTACTCACATTCATTAATATTCGTTTCACAAAGTTCTCCAGTAAAACCAGCGTGGCACTTGCATTTGAACATGTTGTCTAAATCAATGCATTCTTCTGTACCAACAGGATTGCACGGACTGCTGATGCATTCGTCGGTCGACGCCTCGCATTGCAATCCCACAAATCCTGGACGGCATTCACAAATGAAACCGTCGAGAGCATTGGTGCACGACGCTGCGTTTTCACAAGGGTCCGAGGCACAATAGTCAACCATGTGCTGGCAGTTCTTACCAGTAAAACCGGTCTCACATGAGCATTTGTAACCGTTAACTTGGTCGATGCAAAGTCCTCCATTTTCACATGGCTTATCAGCACATTCATCGATGTTGATATCGCACGACTCCCCAGTGAATCCTTCATAACAGATACATTCGTGCTCGAAAAATTTGTCCACGCAAATACCATTGACGCAAGGCATTGGGTTACAAAGATCAACTTTGAGGTGACATCTTTTTCCAGTAAATCCAGGTGGACAGTCACATTTGAAATCAGCAACGAGATCGGTACATGGTGCTCCCAGCAGGCAAGGCATTTCCGCGCAATCATCAGTATTTATGTCACACAGTCTACCTTCCCATCCAGGCATACATTCACACTGGAATTTTCCTTGCTTGAGTGGAGTGCAAACACCGCTGTTGTTACAAGGGTTTCCTCTTTCTACACAAGGATCAACTGTGACACTGCAGTCAGGGCCAGTATATCCAGAACGACAGAGACATTCAAAACTGCCGATTCCTGGATTATCTTTACACATGGCGCGGTCTGGGCAAGCCCCGGGAACACAGTCACTTTCTTCGTCTTGACATTGCAGGCCCGAGTAACCAGGAAGACACTCACAGCGATAAGACTGGGGTAGGTCAATGCACTTGCCATTATTGTAGCAAGGCGTGGAATCACATTCATTGATGTCAATCTCGCAGAATTTACCACTGAAGCCAGCTGGGCAGTAACACTGAATTTGATGGTGACGAGCAAGGCATAGGCCACCATTTTGACAGATGTTTTCAGTGCAGTCAATAGCCTGACACTCGCTTGCAGACGTCGAGCCTTCATTTATCGTCCTGTTTCCAGTTGGACACTCAACACATGTCATTTTTCCTTGCGACGGTTGGTAGAAATTCCTAGGGCAAGGGTTGCACGGTTCCAATCCGTTATCAGAGTACGTACCAGCAGTGCACATTTGTCGGCATTGCTGCTGCGACACGGCACCTGCCATGAACGTGAACGTGTTAGGAGGGCACGTCTGACACTCTCTGAAGCCATCGATGGGAGGCTCACCCGAGAAGGTGTGCTGTGGGCAATTGAGACACGGTACCAAACCAGTGGGAGAATAAGTGCCGTATCCACACACGGGAATACAGTCTTCGATGGATTTGCTGCCATTGTGCCGGGTATATCTCCCTGCAGGACACTGCTTGCAAGATCCTTGACGACCCATATCCTGGTAGAAGCCCATGGGGCATGGAGTGCACTTGTCTTCCATGGCTTTGGCAAAAGATCCAGCTGGACAATGAAGGCATCGTGGGATTGAGGTGGTCTCCGTGTTCAGGACTTCTCCGGTGCTGCAGGTAAAGCCTCTCGTAACATTCGAGTTCATCGCACGGAGAGCAGGGCACGAGTTTCCAACAGAAGGCATGTTGAGAATATTCTCTATTTCACTAGAAGAAGACGGGAGAGTTAAATCGTATATTAGAGAAAGTACATTCCCGCAAAGATCGTAAATTCTCTCTTGAGGATTGGTGTGACTGATACGAAGGACAAGCTTCGTTTTAACCATATTTTCTTGCAGGAGCATCATCCCAACATCAACTAATTCCACTTTAATTGGGATATTGGTAGCAGTTTGACAACGACCAGAGTGCAATGCGTTCAATTCCGTATAGAACTGCTCGACGTGAGCTTTGTATTGATCAAGGCAGCTGACAACAACAGCTCCATTGGATCTGTAAGTGATGTCGGCGACGGTGTCGTAGCTAGCTTGCTGTGTGTCCTCGCTCACGCAATCTGGCACAACTGGAGTGGGATACCACAAGCCGTCATCTGCAGTACAAACGAATTCCTTGGCAGGCATGTTATCGGTAAAGCGGAAACCTCGCTCGCAAACTGCTGTGCAGACCATACCACGACGGGGATCATTGTTACACGCTAGTTTACCGTGCGCTGGTTTCTTGAGTTCCCAATCGACACAGGCCGAAGCTTTGACAGCAACTTGGAAGCTGCACATTGCCGAGTTCCCAGCAGCGTCAGTAGCAGTAACGGTAACGTTCTGGTAATCGCCTACACGAATAACAGCTTCTCCCGGATATACTGATAGCTTTACGTTCTCATCGTGATTGTCGGAAGCCTGAACGTTAGCAAGGGTCAGAGATGAATTGAAATTGACGGTGTAAGTTTCTTGTTCGTCAACCAGTTCAATGACGTAGCTTTGAGGGCAAGCTAAGAAAGGCGGAGTGTCGTCCGGAACAGTGATGTTCACGTAGCAAATGGCAATGTTTCCGTCAACATCGAATGCCAAATATTCTACAGTCATATCCTCAAATATGTACATTGGGGTTTGGAATCCAGCGGGAATAACTTCCGTTCGTGTAATAATTCCAGAGTTATCTTTAGCAACCGGCGCAACAAAGTCTACAGGAAGCAAACCATTGGGACCCTTTTCTACGACCAAAGGCTTAGCAGGGCAGTTCGAGAAGACAGGCGGCATATTGTCGACACAGGTAGGATAGTTCGAATCAAATCCTAGTAAATTTGTCTCTTCTGGGGTATCTTCGCAACCCATTAACTCGAATTTCATGCAAGGATTTTTATCGTGACTGATGATGGCGAGTACGATGAATCTAGCTTTAACGTAAACTGGAAGCTTGATCATGGCAAGTTCTCCATAGTTTCCTGGAACGCGCTTTGTTAAATTGAAGTTGGGGAAATAAATTACGAAGTCGGCGTTCTCTTCAACTTTGTAAAAGAATCTGAGTTCTGTTGGTCTTCCGACAACATCATTGGTGATAACGCCTTTTAGGAGGATGACTTTGATATTGTGAACTGATCCAAGATCCACGGTCACGTAAGTAAAAGGGCCTTCTTGACCGCACCAGCCAGTTGCCGAGTTCAAACGAATGTTGCGCGCTTCGTAGTTGGTTCGCTCAGATGAAACATTGAATGCTGAATCTGGTATTTTCCCTGAAGTGATTCCGATTGGTTTAACGACCTTGCAAGTTGGTTCAGTAATGCATGTTACAGGCTCATCAGTAATCGGGATATAGCCAGGACGGTCGCAGTCGAAATGTACCTTGGATCCTTGCTCGTAACTAGTAGCAGACTGACGACCATCAGGAGGGTGGCCAGGATCTTGACATACGGGACCCTCACAACGCAAGTCTCCGAAATCCCAATTTCCGTTTGCGTCGCATCGCACCACATTATCATTTCTACTAGTTTGGCCATTAAAACTAAAAGTTTCTTGGCATCCAAAGAAGAATGTAGACTCAAATTTTGTATCAGCTGTGAAACCATATGTGGCCCCTGGAGTTTCGGCAGGAATACCGCAATCTCTCCGTTCGCATTCTGGTTGTACACCTGACAGCCAGTAATTCGGAAGGCCGTCTTTGGGATCGTAAACACATTGTCGGAAGTTGGATGTAACAGTGTTGCGCAAGGGTTTTCCAACATCATTGCAAGCGAATGAAACATTTTGACCTAGAGGAACCATGATAGATTCAGGATCATCGTAGATAACTGACACCCCGTCAACTTTTATCGGATGACAAACTGCAGGAGTACATTCAGGCGTTGTTCCATTCCAAGTACCTGTACTGGTACATTCAAGGGTATCTGGACCCTGCATCACGAAGCCATAATCACACTGGAATTTGACAACATCCATGAAGTGATGCATTTCACGAGTATCCAGCAGCAGACCGTTTGAGGGAGATTCCAATTTTGGGCACATCTTGGGCACACACGTCTTGTTCAAGCGATAAGTATCTCCATCACGAAGACCAGTTTCAGACTCTTCTAGGGTGAAACCGGCAGTCGTTTCGTTGACAAACAAGTCATAACCAATATCACAAGCACATGAGAAAGAACCTGGAGAATTGACACATCGATGACCACAACCTCCTTGGTTTTCTTCGCATTCGTTGATATCAACGCAGTCTTGCCTAGCACATCCCATCAACTCAAATTTCAGACACGGCGCAATTTCAAAATTAGCGATCGTCAGTCGGATGTAGCGAGCTTCAATTGGTTCGGGGAGATTGAGAGCAGACAAGGGGGCTCCAGAGGTAATATGGAACTCTACTGGTGAGCCGGATGAGCTAACATAATTTTGGAAGGCATCAGTGAGATTATTACTGTATTGAAGACTGATTGACGTTGAATAGGCTATGTCTCCATTTTCAAAGGACACTGGCTGAGTTCGCAAACCACGTACAACAGTTGGGACCCTCAAGTCGACCATTACCCAGTTCTTCCCAGGTACTGGTAAAGTTCCGCACCATCCAGGCTGGGAGTTCAAACGGACACTCTGAAAAATATTCAAACAATTTATTCTATTGTATACTTAGCAAATAACATTATCATTTTTCAGCCTTAATGTTGAAGGATTTCGGTCATGAGCGAAAACATGTGACACAAAACTTGTTCATGAGTTTCAATATGCAATTAATGTTTGCATTTTTTGAAAACATGTTCAAGTTCAATATGCATGTATGAGCTCACATTTTTCTCGAATCCAGGCATGGTTCCGGAGACAGTGATGGCATCGTCTGGAATCCCTCCATCGGACACTCCGAGGTCGCCTACAGGTCGGCAGTTCAGATTAGGCAGGAAACCCTTCTTGCATTTGCAGGAAAATGCACCAGGACTGTTCATACACTCGGTTGACGCCGCATCGCACTGAGCAGTAGTGCACTCGTCCATGTCTGGTCAAAACAAAATAGGATTAATTTTGATTCATTAAATAAATTAAGCGATTCTAAACTACTTATTTAAATTCACAGTAAACGATTGAAAAATCGGATTTTTGTATAGGTAATTTTGGACCTTACGGAGACTAGTTAAACTAGTTATCTTGCGCTTAGCGAATTTTCAAATGAACGTTTCCATGACAAACTATGCGCTGGAAAAATGGGTCTAGTTAAGATTTGTACCAACAATTGGGGCGTCAATGTAGGGTTCATCAACTCCAACGCGTGTATAGGGGTATGAGGTATATATCGTGTAGGTATAGTTTATCGAACCTTTCATTTGGACAAATTTTAAGACACATTGAACCCATTACTGTACCTCTTATCACAAAGCTTGAGAGATTAAACTCAAAAGAAGTCCTCAATAAAAGTGTGAGAGGTATAAACGTTCAAGAGGTACCTCGTGTATCGTGTGAGAGGCAAATACGTATAAGAGGTATATATCGCGTAGATGGCCGAGTTGCATTGACGTGTAAGGTCAAAACTATAAAAAAATTAACTTACAATCTTCAATGGCTCGCCTAACTTGGATGGTCATGATTTTCAGCAGAACGTTCTCGCTCAAAATATAACGTTTACTAAATAGCCAAAATATTGAGTGACATCAGGGGAAGGACTCCGAAAGAAAGTTTGCCGGAATAAAAGCGATAGTTTCCGCGATTCACCTTCGCAGGTTGGAAGGTTGATGAACTCGTCCTCAGCCCCGCACTTGATGAGCGGTGAACCCACGAGCCGGAACCCGCGGTGGCACTGAACTCTCGCCTCGTCACCGAAGTGGTACTTGCGAGTCATGTCCGTCACGAAGCCATTCGTGATCTAAACAAACATACATACATTTTTACTAGACGCTTAAAATATTTTCAACCAATTACAATGATCCTAATTCTCTAGGATAAACTGGTTCAAGGATGATTAGCATGTCAGACAGAAGCTATGAGAAATCGTTTGACAAGTGATGCAGTGTTTTGACTTTACCTTAGGAAACAGCAGCAGTGATTCGCTCTTACCTTGGGGAATCTGCTGCAATGTTTTTTGATGCAAGAGGGCAGGTTTGTAGCAGACCACGAGCCATCTGACATGCAGTGGATCACGGGATGGCCGACTCTGTAGTATCCTTCCTCGCACTCGAGACGAATGACGGTCCCGTAGCTGCGACCTCCTCCATTCAGGACGTTCAGGACAATGTTCGGGATGTCAGGTAGAGGGGGACACTGCGAAGCTGTTCACAGAACACAATATGTACGAATAAACACTATATTAACGCATAACTTTAGACCGATCTATAAATAATCAAATAAAGAAATGGATTACAGATGCGCACCTAGTCACCATGGCAGCGGCTGTAGCTGAAAAATCATGAACCTACGGAGAAAATGACCACCTATACGCACCGAGACACTCCGGCAGCGGCTGCCACTGGCCAGTCTCGAGGCAAGTGACGGTCTCGACAGGAGAGCCGCTGGGGAAAGCAAACCCTGCGTAGCACTGATACGTCGCCTGGCCGAGGAAAGACACGTTCGTCGCGCCGATGCTGAAGCCGTTGTCGATTTGGGGGACAGGGCCACAGTACACCTCTGCGGTGGGAGCAGGTAAATCAGTGAAACATTGTGATTTGGTTTGGATTTAGGGAGATTATTTCAATTTATTTATGCTTTAAATTAATTGAAAAGTAAAAATTATTGATCTCTGAAGAGTCTCTAGAGATGAACTTTTCGCGCTTCAGTAGTCAGCGACAGACCGATGCGCGGAAAGTGAAAGTAAGCATTTTGAGAATAAGAAAATTACCGGGCCTAGTGTTAGAATAATGAATTTGATTACAACTAATGAATTGACATTGTGTTAAGAAGATTTTGTCATGTTAACCTCACATTTAAAGTTAATACCTATTTAAAATTCTAACGGATCCATAAGTATTCTCACCCTGACATGCCGGAATGTAGTCCTCTGACCACATGCCACCCAAGTTACATCTTGACACGATGGTGCTGCGGTTGTTAGCGAACTGATGACCTCTGGCGCAGCTATACGTGATGACGCTGTCGAACGCTGTTTCGCGGGACGACGCTATAGCGCCTTCGCCGATCCGCAGTTGATGGCAGTCTGATAAGAAGTTTTCATAACGAATTATTTGACAGGATATTTCATTCTGAGGCAAAGTATAAGAAGTTTTCATAACGAATTATTCGACAGGATATGGCAGTCTGAGGCAAAGTATAAGAAGTTTTCATAACGAATTAATTGACAGGTGATGGAATAATGTAGGGTACATGAGATGAACTGAAAAATGAGTGTTTGATTTGAAGCACGTGACAATATATAAAGCACGAGTGGCGGTAAAGATATGCGATCGTCTCTGATTGGATAGCAAACCTAACCTGATTGGCGTGTGAAAAAAAAGTAAGAAAACTTTGCTTGAAATATATTTGCTACCGCCAGTCTCATTTTCAGAAATAATGGTAAAAATTTTATTTTATTTTTCACTATGTTACAAAATTAAAACTAAAATATTTTCATAATTGAAAATCAAATACAACGTACCGGCTGAAAATTTAGCCGCCCATCCTTTGGCGTTTCTGAGAGGGTCGCTGGAGAATCTGAGCAACATAGTGCCGGAGTCTGCGGTGAGGGTCATAGAGGGAGGGTTGGAAGCCGAGAACCCTTGACCAGGGTGCAGTCTTATTGCCTGGGTCCGCTCAGCCCCGTCGTATACCTGAACTGTGTCCTTGTCGCTCACCACGAAGTCCAGGAACTGTGGGAATGTTGATTAGGATTAGTGAGAATTCGAGGAATACTGGTTGGGGTTAGTGAAAATTAAACAAATATGGGCCAGGGTTAGTGAGAATTGGAGAAATATGGGTTAGGGTTAGTGAGAATTAAAGAAATATGGGCTAGGGTCAGTGCGAATAGGAGGAATATTGATTAGGATTAAGATAAATTGGAGAAGTATAGGTTAGGATTAATGCGACGAAGTTTATGAAATGTAAAATTATAGAGTAGAGTTAGTGAGAATTGGAGGAATACAGGCTAGCTCTATCCTGAGCTGGTAGAAGATTGGTTTAGAACTTTTGGGACTGCAGTAATGCAGATTAAGATTATTCGTAACCATAGAAATAATGGTTCTGATGATAGTCAAAATTTTGATGAAAATTAAAACTCTAGGATCTTGTTTATGATTAATTTTGGAGTTTTGAAATTGTAGAAATCATTGATTTTGAGTTGAATGTTATGGAACTGATGGAATATTCACTTAGAAATAAGGAAACAATCGGATTAAACACACTTACCTTCAGTGACAGTCGACCACCTCCAGGTCGCCGGATCAAGTACAGACATTCTTGGTTATTCGGGTAGTTCGAAATTCCATAAGCAGGTGAAGTCAAGTCGCCTTCCAGAGCCTCAAGAGTTACGGAACAGCCAGAATAATAATGAAGCTGGAATCCTTTGCCGGAGTTTCCGAAGCTGGTCCGCAAGTAAAGGTACATCGCAGGGCCGGTCGAGATGAGGTACTTGGGATTGTCTTCTTGCTTGCCGGTGAGGCGGGCCAGTATCTTGGAGGAAGGATGTGCTCCATCCCGTACCAAAATGTAGTCGTTGTCTGATGTAGGGAAAGAAATTTACAATTAAAATATTGTAGATGAAAAATGTCTGATTAAGTCGTACTACAGTACGAAATTTACTGACGAAATTTTTTACATACGCAGTGTCAGTTACAGTCGTTATTTGAAACGCATTTTATAGATATATAATAATAATAAATTCACTATAAAAGTTGAATTTTTATTGGGTTAAAGAAAATAATGGAAGAACGTCAATATTTGAGAGGAGAATGTGGGATGATGTATCGTTAAAAGTGAAGAAAGTTATAAAGGTTGAAAAAGTAGGAAATTCGATTGATTACAATCTGCGGCCGTCGCGAACATTTATGTAAAGCTGTCACCGGTTTTATTTCCTACTATTGAGATCTCAACAATCGCACCGGTGATAACTGCAGTTTTATACTTCCTTGCATTCGAAAAGGACATTGCTGCCAAATATTTGATATTGATCAAATAGCTGGAGGGAGTATGTCTTCATGAAACTTAATTCTTTGTGAAAAATGCAAGCATTTCGTCACATATTAACATGAGCCAACTTCGAACTCACTGCACTCACTGCAACTCAATTTCGAACTCACTGCACCCACCAATTATGGATAATCGCCAGCAATGATGCAGTGATTATTATTATAACCCAATGATCAATATTCACGAAAGCAACTTGCTTTAATACGTAGAAATATTACACGTCTTCAAATAACTGACGGAAATCAACGTAACCAATTCTCATATTTTTTGTTCCTGCTAACCTTTCGTTAATAATTGATGCCTCACCTTTTTCCATCTGGAAGTCAGTGATCTGTATGGTGATGACGCTGCCTTGCTGCGTCTTGAGCTCGTACAGACACTCGAGGCCTCCTGGGTAGTCCATGGACGGGTAGTTAGGGGACGCCAGCACCTGGGGGTTGGGGGTTGCAATGAACTCCCCTCCGCACGACTGGGGCTCGGTCTTCCATGAAGCTCTGAGGAAATAAACTCATTTGTTGAGGCGTGAGAGTAATATGTGACGTGGTTTTCGTAATTAAAAGCCAGCATTATTGATTTCAACCTACTTCTGTGGATTACAAGTCATCATTCTGATTTGTGAGGAAAGTTCCTTTAGTAAAAGAAAGAAGACAAAACTGTGATTTGCGTGAACTGTGTGTGATAATTCATATCGGTACTCGGATTTTAATACAATTAACTTGTGGGGCAGGACAGTCATCTATGATGAGTGTTAGCGTCTTCTAGTACGTGGACTCTCAAATCTATTTAAATATATTATGAAAAAGAGTACCCTAATTAGCGGTAAATGTATCATTGCTACTGAGAATTCCGCTGTATAAATAAAAAAAAATTAAAAGGAAAAAAATTACCTGAATCCTCGCTTTTCAGCGGCAGCATCAGATTTGAATTTCAAAATCATAAAGTTAGAAGCAGACACAAAGAGTCGGCTTGATAAATCTTGCCGCCCTGAAAGTGTAGCGATGGGAACTGCCGAATCAGCAGTTCTTCCTCCGATCAAGATCTGGACAGTATCGAAGTTCTTCTCGGTTTCGAACTCGTAGAACTGGAGGACAATATTGTGACCCACGGGGCCTTCAAGGGTCCATTGACACTCCATGTTGGGGCCATACTTGTTTGGGTAGTTGGGGCTTTCGATCGAGTCGCCCGAGGATTTCATGTAGAATTCGCAACGACTTTCGCAATTCATTTCGTCGGACATGTCACCGCAGTCGTTCTGACCATCGCACAGAAAAGCCTGCGAGAAATTCGACGTCTTATTAAAAATTTCTATGATGTTGAATGCTGTTAACGTTGCTCAAGATTTCCGAAAATTTTTTATCTCCCACAACTGGAGAGGCTTATTATAACAAAGCATATTTGCAACGCCTTAAAAAAACTGCGCTCGATTTCCTAAATCTTCAGTTTTCTTTATTATTTTTACGTTATTACATACCTTCATATAATAAATACTCAAATATACCAACAATTTCAATCATTGTGGTGATTGAATATTTTAACACTGTTCCTCATTTGTATTATAATGCATTAATATTCTTCTACGCTAATCGTACCTACAAGTCTCGTTCGGAAGTACCTGCCAGCAAAAGTTATCTATCTATTTTCCCACGTTTTCATTACCCGCCTTCAATGCAATTCGTACGTAAAAGTCGTCTAAACAAAGTAAACAAGAACAGGGATGAAGAATTGCTCACATTGTTGACGCATTTGCCGTTAGAGCAGAGCGAGGATCCCATAGGACAGGCCCCGGCCTTGCACATGAACGGCAGCAGAGACTCGCAGGTGCTGAGCTCCCAGGACTGCTTCTCTTGTCCCAGATGCGCCCGCACGCACTTGCCGTTCTGCACGCGCGGCTGTCCTTGTGCCCAGAAACCTGCAAATTTCCCGGGTGAGATTTGCAACTTAGTTTTAGGCCTATTATTTTAGCTTTGATAATTAGAAGTAGGCTTTTGAACTGAGCTTTAGGTATAATATGTTGTGTTCAAGAGTTAGAAGATTTTAAACGCAGTTTTGAGTACAGAAACAGAAAATTCGCATAAAATTTTGAATTATTTTCTTCATGTATATATAAAAAACAAGCAGAAAGTTTCGAGTTACAGGTTCAATTTAAGTTCAGGAAGCAGAGATACAACTCAATTTGTTATGTTTATTAAAATAAATGAAATTTATATGAAGAAAGTAATTTTTTCGTGTGATTCTTTATAACCAAATATAGACGGACATCGTGGCCTTCCACCTACTCGAAGGATATTACTATATTATATATTATGTGAGGTCGTTGAGGGAATATATAAATATATCATCTTGTACTTATATATTATCATTTCTAGTCCAGGAAGTAAAAAGAAACATTTGTTAGCGTAAGTTCTCTACCTGAATATAAGGAGACATGATCGCCGCCGGCGGACTCGAGTGTGTTAGTGTTGAGGTCGTTGAGGGCTCCTATATAAATATATCATCTTGTACTTGTATATTATCATTTCCAGACCAGGAAATATAAAGATACATTTGTTAGTTTAAGTTCTGTACCTGAATATAAGGAGACATGATCGCCGCCAGCGGACTCGAGGGTGTTAGTGTTGAGCTCGTTGAGGGCGACAGCGCCGAGCCAGTAGCTGCTGGTGGGATGGTCGAGCTGTGAGTGCGCCAGGTGCTGCGTGAAGTTGTTCTCCACGTAGCTGTCCACCAGCAGCAACTCCGCGCCAAACCTGGACAAACAAATATTGTTATATTGTTATATTGTTATTTTGTTATGTTATTTTATTGTTCTATTGTTATATTGTTATATAGTTATATGTTATTTTGTTATATTGTTGTTACTTACTACATTACATTGTTGTCTATCTTTTCTTGTGTCTATTTATTTTTTGCTTGCTATTAATCTTAGGCATGGCGTGCTCTCGAAGTTCGTTTAAAGCAGACACCACGATAAATGCTTCGTAGAATGGTAATAATAATTGTTTATTTCTGTGTACGATTTGAACAGAATTATATTGGTACTGTTGTGAATTGTTTGTTATTTAAATTAGATCGTTTCAGTCTGATTACTCATAACAGTACTGATAATATTCTTTACTGAATCATATTGTTAACTTCTCTTTATTTGTAATAATAATTTTATCTATTTATGTGTACGCATTAGGATTACAAATAATTGCTAACATCCTTAGGGAAACTTTAGCTCTATTACGGTTGCACCTGCAGCGACAACAGCGGCGAAAAAGCGAGGAATGTCGTCGAGCGAAAAAAATTAGTAGATGTAAAAAGAATACAATGGAATATCTGCAAATACAGAAGCACGACGATGCTGCACAATCATAAATTACGTTGCAGCATAATTTATGCTGCTGCTGCACCTCAGAGCAACCTGCGCCTCAGAGCAACCTGCGCCTCAGAGCAACCTGCGCCTCGGAGCAACCTGCGCCTCAGAGCAACCTGTGCCACAGAGCAACCTGTGCCTCAGAGCAACCTGCGCCTCAAACCAACGTGCGCCTCAGAGCAACCTGCGCCTCAGAGCAACCTGCGCCTCAGAGCAACCTGCGCCTCAGAGCAACCTCCACCTCAGAGCAACCAGCCTCCAGTTGCGTTTGTAAGTTTTTGCTCGGAGTCTTGGGTCAGAGACAGCGGTACGATCACAGCTGTGGTATAATCGCACCTGTGAGCCAGCGTATGAACGCTCTACAGCAATACAACTTCAATCGAATGCTTGCGGAAAATATAGAAAAAACGTTGGAATTTTTACTAAGAACAGATGTTTGGGATCTAGCAAGAGAAGATTGTTAATAAAGAAATAGCGGTAAATAAATTGAGTCTGAATGTAACATGTGTTCAGCTTGCCTGAGGGATAACGTTTCAATTAAAGAGAAAAAAAAACTCACTGAGCGGTGAAACGGGATCAACGATAGAGTTTTCGCCAGAAATTGTACCAATTAACTCGAAAGCTAACGGGATTATTGAGTTAAAATATACAGACGAATAATCAATGTGGAATCTAAAAAAATTTTTTCTTGAAGAAAATTTAATTTATGATCGAATTATAGATAGGCTGTAAAGAAGCACATAAGAATATCTTAATCACTTCATGAGGTAACGAACAACTTGAATGAACACTTATTACAAATACGCCTTTTAATGGGAGACATTAGGGATCGTCTTGAATAAAGGCCTGCATGTGAATAAAGACCTACACCAAACAGCGGGCGCTCCCAGGTGATGAACATGAACTCACTGTTAACAGTGAATGCATTAGACTAATCAGTGTGTGCGTAAGCGGGAATTATTCAAATAGCCAAGAAAACAACATTAAGAGCAGGATATTATGTATAATAAAGCCTTTGTTTAGCACTGAAGACGAGTCAACACAAAACCAGTACTGTGTAAATTACTGTAATTCGGCTAGAATGATCGCGATAAAGATATGCCAAATGTAAAGTACGTGAGCATTCGTCACTGTAAGCATTTGATTTGCCTATGAGACAAGACAACGCAATAAATAAGAGCAATTCTAACGTTTATCCGATAGCTTGTACCGTTATCTAGAAATGGCGACAGCATGAATTAAATTTCGTCACATTTTAAACTTTAAGATTCCGCCAAGGCGGGGAACATTGGAAGTTTGACGCGTGATCTAGCGTAAGAACTTTATCTCATTTTAATAATTTTATGAAGGTTTGAACTTGCATGATGTTTTCTGAGGAAGGTTGAACACAAATATTGTAGAACCAACATTCGTTGCAATAAACGAGCACTTAGATTAATGCCATTTATCATGGGTCGAGGTCGAGGTTTAGCCTGTCCATCTCGTCGAGGTCGAGGTTTAGCCTGTTATCTCAACCATTTCGTAGAGGTTTAACCTGAGATGCAATTTATACTTGCCTAGCTGACCTAATGTTTCATAGGGAGATGTTCTAGTAACTTACGGTAAGTCCGATATTTTCTGAAAAATGCACCACGGCATGATTGATGGGCAGTATAAAAACATCGCGTTCAAACTCTACCGTAGAGTCTGAACGGGAAAAAATTCTACTCGTCAAATAACTTATGTTTTTATATGTGAATGTTACCACGAATCTCCAAAGACAACAGAAAAAACATGATTGAGGAGAACTTTAGAAGTAATATCAATATAATAACATAATCTTTTTCATGGTCATTGGTTTGTACGAACATTAACATAAATAGTTCCGAGCTCGTAACTCGATCAGCCAAGCACTGACGGCATTCAAAGATAACCAACCAATCACAAATGAAAAATCGGACGCAACGTGTACTTAGGTCGCTGCGTGTACTTTGGTTGCTACGGGTACTCGTACTGCTACGTGTGCTTGGGCCGTTACGTGCACTCGGGCTGCTACGTGTACTCAGGTCGCTACGTGTACTTGGACCGCAACGCGTACATGAACCGCTGCCTGTACTTGGGTCGCTACGTGTACTCAAGCGAGCATTGCTGGTACATCGTCAATGAAGGCTTCTAGCGTCAGTCAATAGACTTGGACAGCAGTGCGCCGGCAGGAGGCCGGTAGCCGGGAGAAGAATGTTGCGCCGCTGGCCAAGTCTCGAGGTCAAGGACTTCTCTTGCGCAGCATCGGTCACCTAACTGATCCTGCACCGCCATCCAGCACCGCAATCCTGCACCGCAATCCTGCACCGCAATCCTGCACCGCAATCCTGCTACACTTTTGCACCGCAATACTGCCCCGCAATCACGAGCCAACCATTTGCTCCTATTCATCCGTCCCCAGCATGATATGTTCACTCAGGATGGTGCTTTACCTCCCATGTTCGTTGTCACTCCATTCAAAATCACGGCCACTTCATGCACAATGATGGCCAGTCCATGAAGAATCATGGCCACTCCATGAAGAATCATGGCCAATAGATCGGCTAATGGTTCATTCAATTTAAAATCAAGGCTTCAAATATCCAGAACCAAGGTCCCTTTGTGGAAAACCAGGGGGCCTTCTATGTGGCGTTACGGCTATTCCACTTTCGATGTTTGCACGTTCTTGCTTTGCGCTCAGCCATTTGCTATTTCTCTTTATTCCGGTAGTCTAGTCTATAATTTTAGTGGTTCTTCCTTAAATATACTGTTTATGACAGATTTGAATTTTTTGTATAAAATATTATTACTTTTTACTGATAAATCACTCAATTACTGATCATCACCCCTTTGACCGACGTCGGCACTTCTTCAGTACACGTGCGCATTCCCCCTCCCGTCATATATTGCGACCTCTACGCTAGTTTTTACTATTGCAAAGACAAGTTTGTGGGAACGGCTTTCGGTATTGAGGCTCTATCAGTTATTCCGGTTTTAAACTAGGATCTGCGTGTTTGGTATTGAGGCTCCATCTGTTATTTTGGTCGCTAAGCTCAGGTACCGCAGTCCCTACGCCAGATATTTTTGATTTCTTGGAACGGTATCGTTTCTTACGTATCGTGTATTACGGTCAGGTATTTTGTCAGGTGCTGCGATCGAACTTGTTACGTCAGATTTTTGTCTTCCATAAGTTTAGTACTGTGGGCGTTACTAATGAACCAACCCCAAGTTCGAATTAACGTTTAATATTTTTCAAAAACGCATAGAAAAACAGTGGGACTACTCAAGAAACCATTGCCTTATAACCATCAGGTTTGGCGATCCAACGCTACCTGGATAGTTGCTTCTAGAATATAAACGGGCTCACCCTGCATGCCAATCAAGTTAATGGGCTCTAACGCAGCTGTGGTAGGAGCAAGAAGTTAAACTGGCTTAAAATTTTTGGTCTTGTGAGAATACCCGTTTATAAAATAATAGGGAATTTCTGGCAGGTTGACGAACTATGGACAATTGGAAGGTAATCTTTAAGCTCTGTGCCGAGCACAGCAGCAGCAAGTTTACGTATCTTTAAATAGAAAATAATGTACTAATATTAAGTAAGAATTAGGCGAAAAATGTATTTCATGGCAATATGGATAAAATTACACTTATTATATTAGAAATTGTCCATAGTGCGACAGATTCAGTCCCGAAATTCAAACTAAATCTCAACAGCTGAAAATAAACGTTTAATCAATTCTGCAACGAAGGGAGCAACAATAATGTTGTTTCTTCCTAAAACTTGAAATTAATCCAGCGATACGAGGACTAGGCAGTTCCTTATGAATTTAAACTAAGTTGCGTGCCCCTTCACGTTTCTGGAAACTTTTTTCTATCCATCGAAATTTTTAATTTCGACGAAAGTTTTAGATATTTTTAAATGCATAATTTGGGTATAAAATCCCGACTAATTATTGTATCCTAATACTCAGGGATCAGAGGGGTCCCAGAAACGGCAGCAGATCCGCTAGTATTTTAATGAACGATAATTTGCAGCGACCTGAATTTATTATCACCGTCATTGCTACATAAATTGCTGAACATGCGACCAGGTTATCTGTTATACCAGCCTAGGTTATCTGTTATACTAGCTTATGTTTCCGGCTATACCCTCGGTGAGAAATCGTTGTATTAATATTTATGACCTCATAACACCATGGAGCTCATCGTAACGTCACGTAACACGCGTTCGTTACTCGAGATAACGTTTCCTTCGCAAGATGCTGATCGGCGCAGACCAAGAGCCGACAAGGAACGGTTACAGGATGGAGCTCCGGCAGCTGTTATCGAATAGGAAACGATTGCGCGAACGCGTTTTCTGTTATTATTGAGCTCGTAATAACACATCCG